AGCCATCTGCTCTGCTTTATTCACTGTGCTGACGACTCCTGCAGTCAACAGTGGCAGCAGTGCTGAGTAAATGTGACTTTGTAATGGAGGGGGATCAATGTGGAATCGAGCAGTGTGTGGCTCGCACTGCAGGTTTTGTTTGGTAATGATGTGCTAACAAGGACTACAATGTGATAATCAGGTAAACATGCACAGTTACAAGGAAACAGAATGGATAAACAAAGCTACTAAAGACTCTGTTGCTATGGTAAAGGCTTGTGTATGCTTCAAACAAAGTGCTCGTCAGACTGTCCAACAGCGTCTGAGACCAGCTTTCCAAAGGCAGAATCAGGAGAGTGCTGGTTTCGACAATTTTGTAACTTGTCCAAAGTAGTAGACGGGTTTGAATTGTCTTCAAGCTCACTTTATCCGTTCTTCACACAACTTCTTCTGTTACTTTTCACATGCACCTCAAAGCTGCCAAGAAGGGACAGGAGTGTCCCCATTCATACAAAATGTCATGTTGAGACTACAAACAGACAGAAGATTCTTGGAGAGAGATAATAAAAGTAGTCTGATGCAGTCGGGAGGATGATGACTTGCTCAGTCGGAATAGCTATAAACACTTTCATCCGTAGAGATATGATCACATTGTACAATGTATGTTTGAAGCATACTCAGACTAACTGTCATTCAGACTGATGATAAAATTCCATCAAAAAACAAATTAGTAACCTCTTCTTTCTTATTAGTAACTACTGGGGAGTTACCATTGAGCAAGGCACTAAACCAGTCATTCGATCCATAAGGCATCAGCTGGACTACAACAGCCTTCTATATGCAGACGTCCTCAGTCACCCATCCAATTATATCTCATTTCCTCCAGCTAATACCCGAGGAATTATTGGAAATGGATGGAGCGATAACCCTGTAATCAAATAGATTAGGGGGGCAAACTTATAATTATGCTCCATGCCACACACAAGCTTTTACTCCATTCCTCCACTGCTACGAAGAAACCTAAAACAAGACTTATTCTACATGGAGCTAATCATAAATCATAAATGTACATAACATAATTCTGTCCAGCCGGCGCATTGTGGTGGCATCTCATTTCTCAGCCTGCTAGCTTTTTTATAATTAACTGATATGAATGCATTGTGTGAGTTACCCATTGTAAAAAAAACCCCACTCCATTCAGTTTGAGTGAGCCGATGAGAGGAGCTGGGGAATTATCTGAAATGATTTGAGTGTGTGTGCGTGCATGCACACTTGTCACTTTTAAAATTCTAGATGCGCCACTTTTGAAGTGGCCGTGAAAATGGCATTGCTTTGATGCACACAGTTGTAGATATATCCTACCCCCGCATGGGAACATGGTGTAATTATTTCAGAGAGTCAAAGGCACAGCAGAGTTGGGGAACAAGTCTTGTTTTCAGGATGTGAATAGATTTTTTGAGTGTCTAAATGTTAAGGACTTGACTTAGTGAAGGAGCATTTTAGGTCAAGAAGAGTTCTTAACAGAGACAAGTACTGGCTCTCCTCTCAACTCCTCTCTTGCTAAAGCTTGCCATGTCCTCAGTCTCTTTCTGTCTATTGCTATATTTCTCTTTCTCTGTCCTTCCTGCCTTTCCCATTCTTACTATCAGCTCTGCTTATTTCTGTCTGGGAGGTTAAAACACACCACACAGACTCATTAACAACTCCACACTAGACCAAAACAATGCTGCTTTGGCTTCTCTAGCTTGAAAGGTCTACTGAAGCTTTGACCACACCCATAATCACAGCTAGGTCACTTCTTCGCAGGGCGTAAAAAGCAACCGAATGCCAGACTTGCAAAACACTGTTACTGGATGATTTGGAAAATCCCTGTTTATGTTCAATGCCAATGTTTTAAATTTCTTCTCTCTAAAATCTCTGTTCATAGCACCTACAGTATCATTAGGCCTTTTTACACAGAGATCCTGTAATAGCGCTGTAAAGAACCCCGGCTTTCTTTCTTTACACTGAACCAAACAACACCACTATAATGCCAAACCAGTATGTGATTTCTAGAAAGCACACCAAACGCAAAAGAGGCGCTTTTGGGGCCTCTACTTCAATACCCGTACAACGTAAGCGGAGCTGATCATCGTAACGATGGTGTTCCAGCACCCTTTCACACACATTCACACGGTGATGGCAAAGTCCATCGAACAGAAACTAAACTCATACCACCTCTTTCAACACCGATGGGCACAGGCATCGGAGGCAATTTGGGGTTCCGGTAATTCTTGCTTGGCCAATATACTTCGGACCATGTCGAAGGGATCAACCACACAACCTTCCGAGTAGAGGACGACCCGCTCTTCCTCTGAGCCACAGCCACAGAATAAAATGTTCCTGCCTTGAACAGGCTATGGAAATATCATGGCCACAATGAAAACAAAAAACAATCGATAACAATCTCCAGTCTCCTGCATATATGTTACACCACCACTCCAACCTCCACACATATACCTCGCTACACAGTCAGGTTCAATATGAACTGAACTGCTAGGAATACAAAGATGGTGAAAAGAGTATTCAGCTACGACAAGTTTGATTAAGCAAGATTATTTGCCTGGATGTGTTGTGGTTCATTAGGTGACACCTATGGTTACTGGTAGTAATACCAACTGAATTTTAATAATAAAGGTCCAAAAGTTGTATTTAAAAATGCTGCATGAGAGGTTTAAGGTGTTGAACCACAACATCCAGTTTGGCCCGGGACCTTTATTGCATGTCATTCCCTAATTCTCTCTCTCCTCTCATCCATTGACTATGAAAGACAGCCCAAAAAGTACCCTGAAAAAGAATGCAACAGAAAAAGAATAATCCATGCATCCGTTTTCAGTGCAGTGCAATGTTTCAATGAAACAGACAAAAAAAGAAATATGCTGTCTAACACAGGCTGTTGCATCATGTCCACGATACTGGAAACCAATACCAATGGGTACTACAACATAGAGGCAACAGACTGCAAATATATTGAACAGCTACACAAAAAATGCATCATGGCTGAATATTTGCTGCTGGGTCACCGTTAACACCCGGTTCCTCTTCCTCTCTGTGCATTTTTCCTGGGATACTACCGGTTTGCTTTGTGGTCATGTAATTGAACACAAACGTATTTAAGAATATGCATCTTGAGAGCAAATAATTAGACTTCAGACAAAATTCTGACATAGGGACATACGGTAGAACAGCAGGACCCACCTTGAGGACCTTACTACATCAGTTGATGTGCTTTAGTGGTGCATATTTATGTATTCCTTCCTTGATGTTTACTTTTTCTGCTTTGCCGGAAATTAATAGTAATTGAAAATTGAAAATGGGATACTAAATGATCTGTTACTTATCTATTGGAGAGCAGTTGGGATTAAAACTCTTTCTACAAAAGTCTGTGATGTAACAGAACGCCATTATAAAAATAAAGTTGCAGTTCTACAAGAGAGACGAGTAAGCCTGCTAATTAGAGCAGACGTCCAACAGAGACATGTACCGAAGATGCAATAAATCAATGTGAAAAATACTGGAACAACAGTGCTGTTCCATCATTAGTTTTTTGGCTCAAGAACAATGGTTTTCAGTCTTCACGGCAAAAATGTGTTGCTCTCACACTTGACGCTGTTCTCTATTATGGAGCAGTTGAGGAAGAAAGAATTATTGGAGGTCATGGAACTCCCAATAACAGTAATTCTGGCTCTGAAACGAAGGCCAGGGAGAGTTTTGGAAGCCAGAAATTTCAGCACCTGATGAGGTGATAACATTACGGTGTGTAATGAAGTGGTAAAAACTGAGCTCGTTTCACTGTTAAAAAGTTGTCTTTTCTCACACTTTCTCATGCTTTTGCAGCTCTCTGTGGCTCTTTATGAGATGTTTTCTACCACACTGCCAGAGCTTTTGGGGTTATTGATTTAGCTGAGGCATGAAGGAGGGGAAAATGTGAAGGACAACACTCTACAGTCTTTCACCGGGAGACAGATGAGGGCCCATCTAAAAGGTCATTTGATTTAGGTCTGTGATAAATGTTTTTCTGAGTACTCCCTTATCTATGGTTTCTCATTATTTCATCCTTATTTATTAAGGTCGATGAGATAACATCTTGCTGAGCTTGAAATTGTCTGCATGAGCTGTGGGGAGAGAGGGGGATGATCTTCAATGATTTTGAAGGGTACAGTACTGGACTGATCTGTCCCTGTGCTGAAAAAATATACCGAATGGCTCAAAGGGGGGAAGTCAGTTTATGTAGATTAAAGAGAAACAAAGCCTGCATAGGAGGGAGCTAAGGATGGACGGACGGTCAAACACACACAGACTTTTATTTATCATGTGTGAAACCAATAGTCAATGTTAAGTTATTTTAATTCACATATGTGTTTAATCCTATTGCAAGGAGTTTTTAACTAACTAATTTTGGTCTCAGTTTGACACTGATGCCCCTATATGCCCACCAGCAGGAAGATTCGCTATAGTAATTGTTGATTTTAGCCCAACTTTTGGTTTGTGTTATGACTATTGTATGATTTATAAATGTTTTTTTTTTCATTTTATACTATATATGTTCTTATTTATTGTATTCACTTTTAGAATTTTTATTTTATATTATATAAAAATTTTTAATTTTATACATTTTAATTTAGATCCTCTAGTTTTTTACTTTTTTGTGTGTACTGGTCTACCATTGTTTTATTATTTATATATATTTTTTATCTTGTAGTTTCGTCAGACACCTTCAGGTTCAAGTACTTTGAAATGCACTGACCTGTATCAAATGTGCAATACAAATAAAGACACAATGATTAATTGACTGCCAGGAGTCAAATGGATGATTCACTAGTAGTGATCAATACTAGAATAAAAACTATGAATTAACCTGCATCACATCTATAATATTAGAGGTGGATGATGCTAAATGCTTTTAATAAAAGGTCAACAATATAATGATCACAGTTTGTTAAAAGATGTGTTACAGCAGTAAGGGTTTCTATCGATTATTGTTGACATAACAGTAATCTTACTTGAGTATCTTGAGGGGAATAGAGGTGTCCTTGATGGCAACAATGACCCCACCGTGGTCCAGGTACAGGATGTGATGCTCCTCCTCAAAAACCTTGAAAGAAATAACATCAAAAGCTTGGGGTGAAATTTCCAAATCATGCAAATAAAAAAAAATTCTAGTTTGTGGCAAAAGAAAACTGGACAGATGCATTTTATATCTCCTCAGATTGTGTAACTTTCATGAGAGCAGAGGCAAAGTGTAGAGAGGGTTAGGGAGAACAGAGGGACGTGGGAGTATGGAGAGGGAAAAAAAGAAGACGCAAGGGAGGACGTGATGTACCTGTCTCCATGTCTTCCCACAGTCTGAAGTGATGTACATCTCTTCCTTATACTCCACTAGCTTGGAGCCGAGGTTACCTGAAGGAAAAAAGAGGAATTGAAAATTTCATCAGGCAGGGAGACTTGTATGACGCATGCAACAACAACAGATTCAAAGAGAGGGAAAAACACAGAGAGAACAGATGTGAGGAGACTAGACAGTGAAAAACCAAAGAGAGAGGAAGCATAGGATGGGATGCTCCCTTTCATTGCTTTACTTTTATTTTTAATAATTTCCTGAATGGTAATGGGACTTATATAATATAATATATTTTATAATATTCTATATTGTCAGTACTTCATACAAGATTAGTCTTTTCTATGGAGGCTCATAGACATGACATACTTATGTTTATGAATAAATATCAAATATTCTATATTATATTAAATATTGACCCTCTAAGTAAAAGAGATTAAACACTAAGTCATAATTATGGGATAAATGATACAAACAATTGAACAGTCAAAATGTTCAGAAACCAAGCCAACCAACTGACTTTAAAAATGTGTACTTTTAGTTGACCTTTCACTTAGGTCATTATGCACTTTTAATGCTAAGTTTCTGTTTGGGGATCCCCCTCCTACCCTCTTTAACTGCTCAAAAAGGTACTTAACATTGTTTATCAGTTTAATACTTTTCATAATATAATGCAAATTGATTATAATGATTGATTATTTGGGCTGATGACAAGTTTCAGAAGTCTGCTACAGAAAATGACACATCAATTATTTCCCACTTCTTGCATTCATCTGAAAATCAAACAATTGAAATATTGGTTTAACCTTGCGTAACATCTCTATATCTATTTAGTACAGCAATCCCATATGCATATAAATGTACATGAATATTGTATATTACTGAGTAATACTGATTTATTTTAGTTTTGTCATTAGTAACATTTAGGTGTTTTTTTCTGGCAGAAATGGGCTTTCATAGCTGTCAGAGATACAAGGCATGACCTATATAGCTTATATAGCTTATTTTCCTTATCTCATAAACAGACACAGACAGCTTACTTATCTTAACTCTGTTTTTTTTATTTTTGCTCTCTGCCAGGAGTGCCCGTGCACAAACAAACACAGTGAAAAAATTCAATAAGTGAAATTGCTAGTGGTTCAGCGGAATCCTCTGTGTGTTAGAGAGCCCAGGCATGAAGCAATGTGGTTTTATACTCCACCATCGCACAGACAGAAAGCACTACTTGTGTCAAAGCTCTTCTCAGGGTAAATGGCAGTTTGTTGCTAGAGGAGTGGCACCTTTTAGCACAGGAGCGTGGACTGTTTGCATGTAATGGAAGCATTACTTTAGAGGCTGCAGACAAAAACAAACCACACTGGCTGACACACACACACATGGGCATATAACACACAAAACAAACATTAGGGTTGTGAGAAAATGTTGATACTGTTTTGTATTATTTTTTGTGATGTATTGATTTTTTAAAAACACTATCAATTTTTGTGTTTTAACTTCCAACCACTAGATAGCACTGTTATGAACACAGACTTACACAGTAATTTGATGTTACAGAGACTGTGAAAAATACAAATGCAAATCTGTTACATACAAAAAGTAAAAAGTTTTTGCTCACATTTTATAAATATTGGTCTTATTTATACTATAACTTGATTTATACTATGATTTTCCTAAAATTAGCTTGAAAATATCTCAATATATCACCTTACAGTATTGCAATATATTGGTTTATAACTCCTGTATCATGATACGTCCCATATTGCTAGATTGCCAATACATAGCCTTATTCCATATACAGTATTATAGTGCCCTAGTGCCTTTTGTACTTTGTATCTAGATTAGGACTGCCACTATTGATTAATTAAGTAATCAAGTATTCTACCAATTATTCCATCAATTAATTGAGTAATCGGATAAGAAATACTTTGGCTTTATGAAAGCAATAGTAGCAATACAGTAATAGTAAAAAGTAGATAAAGAAAAATAGATTTTTTACAGCGGAGGAAAGGCTTCTGTTGTACCCACACTGAACTGCTGGTGGAGTATTTTCAAAGTGGGATATATTTTTACTTAAGTAAAAGGATCCGATCCTTCCTCCACCCACAGCGTAACTTCACCTGAGTTACCAGCCCAGCCTTTTCCTTTAAGAAAGGTGGGCTCATGGGTAACCTGTGCCGGTTTGTTGTGGGAAGTAAGGGCTAGTAACGTTAGGTTGCAGTATAGTCGCTAGCTAACTAGCGTTTCACAGTGAAGCGCTAACAGTGTGCTTTTGTGCTAGGCTAGTTGTGTTTTACAGCAGACTCTGTACAGAGGTTCTTGTCTCAATATTTTCTCTCTCCAAAGTGTGTTGTATGACAGTAAAAATAATCTGTGCAAAACACAGTGCGCTGTATGGCTGTATATTACTATAT